AGCAGAGGGGACCGATCGCAGTGGCCGTGCCGGAGCTGTCGTTGGACGGAGAAGCCAGGGACTGATTGTTGGAGGGGCCCATGAAGAAGCGGGCAGAGTGCTACTCTACCCTTCTGCCTCGAGGTCAGCGCCCTGAGGAAGACGACGGTGCGGTGCAGCGGCGTCGAGAGGCCGCCGGACCGAGTGCGGATTGTATCGGCCCTTTCTGCGGCGACGGAGCCACGTCGTCGTTCCTGGATGAGAGGGAACTGGTGCCGCAGTTTCAGCTCCATCTTGTTTGATCATCCAGTGTAACGTGGTGAGAGAGATGGGATGGAGGAGGCTGAGGAAAGAAGGTGTGACAAGAAGGACCGACTTCGGGGATGATGCGGATTACGTAGTTGTGGTGGCTGAGCAGAGAGAGAAGTTTGTTTTGTATTGTGTTAAAAGGATATATGATATGTTATATAATATTGCATTATATGTATGCAAACAAGGAAAATAAGCCAAATCCAGCTTGACAAACGTTTTTAAAATTCCTTCTGACAATGAATTATTTTCCAAACTGTAATTCAGTTCTACACACACTGTGTCTAGCAGCTATTAAAGCCAAACATCCAGATTCTGAGTAACTGGAGACAAAAAAGTAAAAAAAATAAAAGTAATCCCCATAGTCACCATTTCCCCCCCAACACACACACGGCAGCAGTGCACCTCACATTTTGAAAATCATTTATTAGGGCATGAAAATTCTGAATAAAAACACGTTTGATTCTCTTTACTTCCAGTTTGGACTATTTATCATCAAAGTTGTTTTTTACTACAGCGATATCTGGAGGCCCTCGTCTTCAGAGCAGAAATCTGCAGAGAGAAAGACATGAAGCAATCAGTTCTGTCTGATATTGCACATCTTGATTTCAGTGTTTACAGGTTTGAAGGTGAAGCACCTTTCTTGGGGTCGTGGTGGAAGTCTGGCTCTCTGGAGAACCCGAGGCAACTCGCCTGCTGCTTGAAATGTTCCAGGTCCGAATCCTTCAGGGTCGACTCTTTGCCTACAAACACAAAATACCCCCCAAAATGAAAGAATGTTTCTGATATAAAATGAATATTTACTCTTTCAGACTTGCTCTTTCCTACCCATCAGATAAAGAACATGAGTGGTGACCTCCTCTTCGTTAAAGGAGTTGTCGATGTTCACAGATTGAAAGAACGTTTTGAGGTTCCTGGCGGTGCTGTTGCCGCTGAAGACCAGACAGCCGTCACAACTTGGGAGCACGTGGAATGTCGTGGTGATGTTTTTGACTGAGGAGAGTGTCAATGACAGAAGAATTTAAATTAAACATTATTCTCCATCTGAAACAAATACTGTATATTTATCTCTGAGGGTTTTGGGGGGGTCACACTGTAGCACCCAACGGCATGTGGACAGAGAGGGCACATTTGCTGGGTTCATCTCAGCTGCCTGTCCTGGGGCTCTGGTGTGGTCCATTGAGATTTATTAATATGTTACCACACCAAGGTCAGGGGAGCTGTCAAATTGTCATTATAATGTGTGTGTCTCATATAATACAGGGTGCTGAGAAACATTAACAATCGACAGCTCCACCCTGAGTTGTGACATCACATCTGTTGCGTACAAACTGATTGGTTGATGTCTTTATTAAAAAATCAACCTCAAACTGTAAAAAAACAGGCTGTTGCGTTTTGTGATGCATGTTCTAATGTTTCTATGCAATGAAATTGCGGAAGAAAATGAAAACTGCCAAAATAGTTTATTTTCCGTTTAATTCATTGAAAATTGAAGGCAACTTGATCCACTGAGAATAAACTGTAGTGTTTGGAAGGCTCGTTTTCAGCAGTTAACTACAATGATTGGTAAAATTTTGTGACAATTGCAGGGTAGGGAATAGTTCAAAGTGATTGGCTACAGCATTAAAACTGTAAATTAAAATCCTGGCAGTGTCTGAGGACAGCGGGACAATATGTGTGATGAATCTGCAGCTTTTAATTTAGTCAAAAACATGACTCCTGCCGGATTATCTGTGTAACAGATCAGGTAACTTACGCGATGTTGTTGCAATGTTTCCGTCAAGAGTTACGTTGACAGTTAAGCTAAAGCATGATCCATTCCTGGGAAAAGACAGGGGAAAGGTTGAGTTCATGTTCTGTTTTAGGACTTGGAAACCAAGTTATCACAAAAAGTCTTTTCACCACTGAAAACTGTGTGATGTGTTTGAAAGATCTGAAGAAGTAGTTAATTAAGTGGACCGTGAGTTAGGATTGTTTGGTTGAACTACTTCTGAGGACAGAAAACCAGATTGATATTGCATGTTCCTTGCATGAAGTTGCAGCTTCTTTCTTTACACGTGTTCTATGTGGAGTTTGAGTGGGTGAGAATGCTTACTTCTTCCCTGGGAACTGTTAGCTTTAGCCTCAGTCTGGTAGCATCATATCATAAATATAGCCATGTTTGATGTTAATTAGCTAGGTAGGTTAAGCTGATTAAATTGATTGTTGCCAATTAAGATTAAAAGCTGATGTTTAATTAATCATGACAAAATTGCGGTTTACAGACGTTATCATGTTGTGTGTTTTAACAGTTGATGTTGCACTGGTATCAACTCACATCTTGTTGTTCTGATACATGAGAACTTCATTGGTGCTGGATGGCGATGGGGTGATTTTCATCAAGGAGCTGTCGGTTATCTTCAGGATGTTGTTATATTGTTCAGTACTGGTGTAACCCATGATGAAGTACTTCGTTCCGTACATCTGCGCACAAACATGATGGCAGTTAGTAACAGTTGATGAAAGTAGGGCTGAATAATTGCAAAAAATGTATGACTAAAATAATAGATAAAATAAATGCTGGAATGTCTCAGTGCTAATGCTAACCAAAACCCCCCGGCAGGAATCAGAGGAGGGCTTACCATGTTGGCATCGGCCAGAGACAAAGGCGTGACCAAGGGTTGGCATTCTTCAGGTGTCAGAGCAGAGATCCTGAGAACCAGCCCCACAACCAGGAAGTGACTACTGAACCACAGATTCATGATGCTACAGCTAGCTAGCTTCAGAGCCGCAAATCAAAACCAAGCAGATGTCAGATGATGAGCTGAGCTCCACGACTGAGCCTCATCGAGCTGTTCAGCCTTTAAAGAGGCTGCTGGAGGCAGAGTTACAAGCTTCTGGACTTTACCATTATTTACACAAAGGGAACTTTTTCAGAGTTGAGTAAGCAATATTTCACTTCTCGCCTGTCACCCACTCTCTGAGGTTCAACGGGGAATTCAGGGTCGGCTGTTGTTGTAGGATTTCCTAAGATCAAATAAACCTTTATTGATCCCCAGTGGGGACATTCAGTTGCAGCACAATCACTGAAATAACTATAGAAAGAAAATAAATAAATAACTGCGGTTCAAAGGTGGGTTACCAAAATGTTTGCATACAATGCAACAGCAATGTAGGGTCAGTTTGTGACAGTGTCAGGAACATTGTTGGACTTACCCTGAAATTCCACCGCTTCGTCTGCATTTTTTGTTCCGTGTTGTTTTGTGTTTTGTTTTATCTTCAAATAGAAAAATGATCTCTATGCCGTATGTGAGTGGGTTGTCAGAAATAGACCAGCCATGACAAATAACAATTCAATTCAATTCCATTCAATTTTATTTGTGTAGCACCAATTCATAACAGAAGTTATCTCAGGACATTTTTCAAATAGAGCAGGTTGATTAACGATTAATTGCATTAGCGATAATATCGCGATATGATAAAGCGCGATTTTCTAACCGCAACGTGTGCGATTACAAGGTGGTCACGTGATGCGAGCGAAAGAGTGGA